GCGCATGATCAGAGGTCAGGGAAGCAGACCCTACGAGGGCCGGCTGAGAGCCCTGGGGCTCTTTAGCCCGGAAAAGCGCAGGCTCGGGGGTGATCTGGTGGCCACCTACAAGTTTATCAGGGGTGACCACCAGTATCTGGGGGAAAGTTTGTTCACCAGAGCGCCCCTAGGGATGACGACTAGGTCGAATGGTCATAAACACTACAAGACCGTTTCAGGCTGGACACAAGGAAGAATTTCTTTACTGTCCAAGCCCCCAAGGTCTGGAACAGCCTGCCACCGGAGGTGGCTCAAGCTCCTACATTGAACACCTTCAAGAGCAAACTGGATGCTTATCTTGCTGGGATCCTATGACCCCAGATGACTTCCTGCCCTTTGGGCAGGGGGCTGGACTTGATGATCTTCCGAGGTCCCTTCCAGCTCTAATGTCTATGAAATCTTTCTTGAAAATGGGCACCTCATTGGCCCTTCTCCAGTCCTCAGGGACCTGGCCGGAGCACCATGAGTGCTCGAACAGCTGTGCCAGTGGCTCAGCTATGACACTGGCCAATTCTTTCAGCAGCTATGGATGGAGGTCATCCGGGCCTGATGACTTGTACCCATCCAACTCCTCCAGGAGCTCCTTCACTATTTCAGAACTAACCGTAGGCAGACTGGTGCCATGTGGACATCCATCAATGATCGAGGTGGGGGAATAGGCTTGGCCGGTACATAGAAATTCTGAAGCGAAGAACTCATTGAAGAGCTCTGCTTTTTTCCCCGCGTCAACCACCAACTGTCCTGATTTGTCCTGCAGGGGCCCTGTGTTGCTCTGAGCTTTCCTTTTGCCCGCTATATACCTGAAGGACTTTTTATTGTCCTTTATTGTTGAAGCCAGCCTGAGCTCAAGCTCTTTCTTGGCCTGTCTAACTGATTCCCTGCAGTATCACTCCAGGGAGAAACATTCCTCCTTGGTGGCTGCTCCCTGCTTCCATTGCCTATACATCTCTTTCTTTGCCCCTAGACTCTCCTGGAGTTTCCTGTTCAGCCAAGGGAGCTTTTTTGCCCCCTTACCTCCCTTCCTATATAATGGGATAGACTCCTTTTGAGCCCATGGATCACTTCCTTGAGATACCTCCAACCCTCCTGGACCCCCATTTGCTCTATGTTCTTGAGTTGCATCCCCTCACTAACTAGCCTTCTAAGCTGCCTAAGTTGGCCCTTCTGAAGTCCAACACTTTAGTGCCACTAGTTACTTTACCCACCCTTTGCTGGACAGTGAACTTGACTAAGTGATGGTCACTATCTCCCAGGCTACCATGAACTCGAATGGTCCCCACGAGATCATCCCCTGTTGCTAAGACCAGGTCAAGCAAGGTGCTACCTCTGGTGGGACTAGACACCACCTGGGTTAGGTGGAGGTCCTGCACACAGTGTAAGAACCTCCATGAGTGGCTTGTTTTGGCTGTCTGCTCCTCCCAGCAGATATCTGGGTAGTTTCTCTGAGTTTGGATATCTCTTCCTCTTCACAAATCTCACGGAGGAGGTGACTGAAGTCAGGTGGGCTGCTCATGCTCCCTGCTAAGTTGAGGTTCTGAAGTAACTCCAAGCTATACCATACCCCAATATAGATTCATAGATGTTAGGGTCGGAAGGGAACTCAATAGATCATCGAGTCCGACCCCCTGCATAAGCAGGAAAGAGTTCTGGGTCTAGATGATCCCATCTAGATGCTTATCTAACCTCCTCTTGAAGACCCCCAGGGTAGGGGAGAGCACCACCTCCCTTGGGAGCCCGTTCCAGACCTTGGCCACTCGAACTGTGAAGAAGTTCTTCCTAATGTCCAATCTAAATCTGCTCTCTGCTAGCTTGTGGCCATTGTTTCTTGTAACCCCCGGGGGCGCCTTGGTGAATAAATACTCACCAATTCCCTTCTGTGCCCCCGTGATGAACTTATAGGCAGCCGCAAGGTCACCTCAAAACCTTCTCTCGCGGAGGCTGAAAAGGTCCAGGTGCCCCAGTCTCTCCTCGTAGGGCTTGGTCTGCAAGCCCTTAACCATACGAGTGGCCCTTCTCTGGACCCTCTCCAGGTTATCCGCATCCCTCTTGAAGTGCGGCGCCCAGAATTGCACGCAGTACTCCAACTGCGGTCTGACCAGCGCCCGATAGAGGGGAAGTATCACCTCCTTGGATCTATTCATCATGCATCTGCTGATGCACGATAAAGTGTCATTGGCTTTTCTGATGGCTTCGTCACACTGCCGACTCATGTTCATCTTGGAGTCCACTAGGACTCCAAGATCCCTTTCCACTTCCATGCCACCCAGCAGGTCATTCCCTAGGCTGTAGGTGTGCTGGACATTTTTCCTCCCTAGGTGCAGCACTTTGCATTTCTCCTTGTTGAACTGCATTCTGTTGTTTTCTGCCCACTGGTCTAACCTGTCTAGGTCTTGCATCTGATGGATGCAATCAGGTGATATAATTTAAATAAAATTTACTGTCTGTACAAAGGCAGTAGACCTTAGCTCCTGAGAGGAAAAAAATCACTTTACTATTTTTATGAACATTTCAAACATACTTCAAAAGTAAATTATAACTGGGTTAGCTAAAAAGGCTGTAGAGCAGGATGATTCTTCTAGTTGTTGCTCAAATGCTACATACTTTTTTTACAGACTTTCCTGAAGGAACGCTTTGACAATGAAGAAATTAAACCAGATTTATGGATGTCCTTGGAAGGTGGAAATGCTTGTACTGAATGTGGAATTCTAGCAGAGGATACAGCTCTGTATTTTGGAGGCACTACAGTAAGACAAGCTGTCACACAAGACCTGGATCTGAGGGGTGCCAAGTATGTCATGTTACCAGCTAGAATTTGACATAGCTGATGTGTTCTAACAGAGGGCTTCATTAATAATAATAATAATAGAGATCAGATTGGTAACAAACATATAAATAAACAGTAACAGATAAGGCAGCTTATGGGAATGATGATACTGAACTTTTCACTTCTAAGCGACAGTTCAGAGTCATCTCTGGTAGACAATGACAAATGGTTCTTATTTTTACCATCAACTGGAATTTTTTCACTGACATTTGTGAAATGAGTCATTATTTATTTTTGCGGAGTATCTTGCTGCTTTGTAGGTATATGATAAGAAAAGGTCCTTACTCAAAAGAGTTTAGAACTTATAGACAAAGTTTAAGAGCAGTGCAGTGCTGGTGACAACTGTGTTACAACCTCAACTTCACAACTGACACCAGCCGGTACTCTGGCTGCCAGTCTCAGCAAAGAGGTGAAGAACTAAGTGGGCATGAGGGAAAAAATGTGTATGTGCCTGTGCTGTGCCCATTCTATATATTGACAGTATTTGAGAGGGTCACAGCAGCACATCTCACAAACACCCAAAAGGTTTTCAAAAAATAAGTAAACAAAAGTATTTACTTAAAAAATGCCAATTGTGTTTATTTATGTTCGGCTATAGGAGAATTGGATTTAACCAAGTATCATGTGAGTTCTGGGTAGGGCATGCACTACATTGAAGAAACAGCTATTAAAAAAACCCCTAGAGACTTCTTCCTTAGCATGAGAGTGGTGTAGACAGGAGCTAATTTGAGTATATCATACAGATTTTTCTAAGTGAAGCTGAAGCATTAACATTTAAAAAATGGCCAAGGGAATTTCCTCTTACGGCCTCTCTTCACTGAAGGCCATGGGGAAAGAAAAGCATGAGATTTGCCAGACTGTTAAAGGAACAAGTCTCTGTGGTAATTTGTAACAAAATGCCATGTCCTGCCAACATTTACAGACGTGAATGGCTTTTCTCGGGTAAGTAACTCCACTGTAGTACACCCCCCCCAACTCCCTGTGGGTTGGTCAAAAGCAACCTGAAGGACCTGCATGCATTGCTAGGTGGTGATAACAGGGTTCCAGAGTTTGGCAGTCCTCACAACCCCTAAGGCAGGCTCCCTCAGGACCTCCAGCAGATGCGTCGTTTATCCTCAACAGGTATTTGCCAAGTCAGTAAAATCTCTTGAATATGGGAAAGCCAAGAATTGAATCCTTCCTCCCCTGCAGGGACTGGAAGGGTTCCTGAGAAACTCTGGAGTCTCTTATAGGCCACCTGGTCCCTGGAGGAATGTCACCTCCTGCAGAATCTGCTGGAAAGCCCTCACCCATTCTGGGGTAGCCTCAGTACCAGCAGGTTGTCCCACGCCCCTCTGCACCGTCCCATCACTCCCGGAGGGTATGCCAGACTGTTTGCATTGGACATGTCTCCTGGTGGCTCTCTCTCTCTCTCTCTACAGGCATACACAGCACTTGAATAATATTCTAGCACCCTGTCCCAGGGGAGCTGGGGTTACAGGAAGGCTCCAGGCAAAAGGATAGCCTCACTTACCTTCTGCAGAGCCTGAAGAGCAGGAGGAGATGCACATGACGAAACTGCCATCACAGCTGATCAGCTGCACATATATTCAGCTGTGGCCGAGCAGCATGAGCGGGAGACACCGCCCAGTGGAAATAAAAAGCTGCCGCGAGGATGCGGCGAGGTGGCAGACGAGCAGAGGCTCGGGGAGAGAGCCCTTACCCGGAGGGGCTCAGCTGCCGTCTCAGGCAGTGAGGAAAGTTGGGGGGCGGACTCAGGAGAGGCTCCGACAGTAGAGCCGACAGGGTCGGCAGCGACACCAACAACTGAGTCGGCAGGAAAGCCGGCAGTAACGCCAGCAGCGAGGCCGGCAACAGAGCTGATGGAGCCGGCAGTGCCGCTATCAGTAGAGGCGGCAGCAAAGCCGGGAGCGACACCAGCGGAGGAGCCGGCGGAGACGTCTGCAGCAGGGATCACTGCAAAGTTGAGAGAGAGGTCGGTAGCAACGCCGGCAGAGGCTACAGCAGCAGCACCTGCAGCAGAACCGGCAGCGGCACTGGTGAAGGAGCCGGTTACAGACACGGAGAAAGCAGCGTCAGAGCACGCCGGTGCGGGGAGCAAAGAGTGAGCCAGCATTAAAGCCATGGAGAGGAGGTAATGGGCGTGGCCAACGGGGTCCCATCAGGCTTTGCCAGAGGACAGCCAAAGACCCAAGGAGGTACTGAGCAAGTGACGGACATGGCCCACTATAGCCCTAGGATAAAAGGCTGGGACTCAATACCCAAGTAGGGCGAGCCACCAGGGCTGTGGAATCCGGGCACAGGGGAATCCAAGAGATCCATAGACCAGAGGCACCCTTCATGGCCTCCTGGCCCAGTAGCTTAGTACTTCAGCTATTATGGTGGTGGGATTGGCACGTCAAGTCACAGGGTGATTAGTATAGGGCTCTAGGGATTTGGATCGGAGGGACCAGGTCCAAGGACTTCGAGGTCCATACGTCAAGGCCCGAAGACTCTGGCACGTAGCTGGCAAGCCATGGGAAGAGGTTGGGTAAAACTAAGAACACCTAAGAGGCCCGAAGACCGGCAACCCAAGGTGGCGAGTGGCCAGGGTGTAGGGGAGGTCAGAGCCCTGTGAGTGCCCGCTGGGAGGTGTTGCAACCCTGGAGACTGCCTCGAAGGGGAGCCCCTCCACTAAGGTAACATTCACAGTCGTGGCAGAAGAGTCAAGGGGATCCCCTGACGTCAGCTGGGGTAGTCTTTGGGGTCCACCCACAAGCCCAGAACAGGCACGAGCATTAGTCCGGGCTAAGGCCACACGAGAGCGCCTAATTGAACAGAGGTGGGCACACACCCACTTTGAGGGGATCCCGGATGAGCCCCCAAAATGTAACCTGGGCAGTACTCCAAGAGGTACCACTTCTCCAATTGAAGGGATCAGAGCAGGTGCACAAGCACTGTGGGAGGTGTAGGGACCCTCCTCCCCCTATAGAGCAGAGCCAGATCACTAATGAGAACTTAACCATATACCTTTTATGAGAGAACAGTGCTGGGAACATAACCGGTATAAACCAGGGGGTAAAGGGGACACTCCCTCTGCTGCTGAGCCTCCTCCTTGTGGCTTCTCTTGGTGGAGTCTGCCTCCCTTCTCTCCCCCACCACGCGCCTCTTTGATCCAATGAAGATTATTTCTTCCCTCAGCTCCAGCTCTGCTGCCTCCTCTGCCTCAGTTTTCATAGATTCATAGATGTTAGAGTCGGAAGGGACCTCAATAGATCATCGAGTCCGACCCCCTGCATAGGCAGGAAAGAGCGGC